CGCGGAGGAGCCCGTCCAGGGGCCATCAGGTGGGGGGGGTGCAGCACGAACTGGCAACAGCTTCAGCCCAGGAGGAGGAGGAGAAGGAGGAGGAGGAGGAGGAGGAGGGGGGACAGGAGGAAGAGGAGGAGGAGGAGGAGGAGGAGGAGGAGGCAGGCGAAAAGGAGAAGGGTGGATGGGAAAGGGGCCGGGGGAGCTGGTCCCCCATGCAGAGGCCGACGGAATGTTTCGACGTGTCTGCTGGCTGTGCCTGGATCTCAGGGCCCGCCATTCGACGAGGCGAAGCATACGGTCGGGAACAGTAACGTGGTTAGCGTGTCGCGCCGACGCTTCAAGTCCACCATGCCGCATGTTTCGGCACGACACGCTAACCACGCCCAGTCCCCAGACGTCAACGTCCCGAGCTTTTCCCAACCTCCCGCTCCCGCGAAGCGGAGCGACACGCTATCCGATTGAACGGCATAGCGCGTAGCGTGTCGCCAGGGCCGCCTTGACACGCTAAGCAAAGGTTCCCGACCGTAGTTGGCACAAGAGTCATGCGCGCTTTCACTTCACCGTGGACCGCTAGCCACATTGCAGCGTGAACTGCTGGGCGTCGCCAGTCGAGAGCCTGGAAGCTCGAAAAGGGTCGTCATAACATCACATATTATTTCAAGTCGCTATTACTCCTCAGTGGGGGCGCCGCCGCGCCGTTTGGAAGAGCAAGTAGCATGGAAACCCCGTGGGAGCAACAAGATAGCCGGTTACCTGTTCAACGCCACAGTGGATGTAGAGAACGTGCGGACACGACAGCTGCTGAATAGGGTGCCGGACCGAGGGTTGCATCGTCATTTGCCACTCTGACGGTGGCACGCGAATTGCTATTTGTCACGTTACAGCTTGAATCGACGCAGAGTGCCACGAGAGAGCGGGAGCCTTCACAACCGCAGTCCTCGCCATGCGAGGGATCTGCATGGACATGCCTGTCTCGTCATCCCAGGCGAAGGCGATCGCTTTAGAGAAACGCACGACGTGTGGCGCCCGACGGCTGTTTCCGTTCGCTCTCGTACTATGCGCAGGAGCCCGGTACTTCGCCTCGGGGTGCCTGCCCAGGGCGTTCCTTTTCATGCACTCCGCTTTCAGCACCGCCTGATCCCGGGGCTTTGCCCTCTCTCGGCCTTGACGTGCGGCCCCGCCTTCTTTTTCCCTCCCTCTGTTAATTCAAGCTGTGCGCGGCCCGCTTAGCTTCGACCGGAAGAGGCTCGCTCTCGATCCGCGAATCAACGATGTTTGACCTCCGTTCTTCTAGCGTCAGCGGCGCTCCCTTCCAGACCTCTGGCGCTCGTGTGGCCAGACTCGGGGATCCTCCGCGCGCGGATCCGGCGAGTGGCCTCCGCCCGTTCGACCTGTGAGTCCAGTTGTCGTGTGCCTTCAGCTTCCTCGCAAAACTCTAGAGCGGTTGCTCGTGCCAGCAGTGGGAAACAGCGAAAGGAAGGACACCAGCGATCGAGGCTGGCTTGAACTGATCAGGACAGCTTGACGATACAGAGCGCAGGCCTTGGGCTTCTCGAGAGATCAGAGGATCTGGGGCGATATCTTGTCGTCGACCGACGTGCGTAGCCATTTTGGCTCGGGCCACCCTGAGCCCAAGGATACGGCTGGCCCCGGGGGGGGTCCGCGCCCTCCTCCCCAGACCCCCGTCGACGTGATTTTGTTTCACAACGTCGACCCCAAGAGCTCGGTTGATCCTTTCCCCGGGACCAGGCTTTCAGCACGAGTCGTTTTTTGACAATCCCGAGGCCCGGTAAGGGCCCCCGGAAGCCGAAAATAATGAAACAGCAACTTCCCGTTGCGATGTTCCGGCAACGCGAGGAGATGTGGGTCTGCGTTTCCTTTGAGTCCTGGCGTCGTGGAGGAACAACACACGACACCATGCGGACATCGCCACGAAATTCACGTGCGAAGAACAGTACGTAGCACCCCGCGATTGCGGATAAGAGTGAGGGGGCGGGCGCGGGCCACGCGGGCGTCGAGCTGGCGGACCTCGTGGCCCTCGATCACCTTGCCTGTCGATGGCGCCCTCCTCCTCCTCCTCCTCCTCCTCCTCCTCCTCCGAAGGCTCTTTCCCAAACCAATGCGAGCAAGCCCGCCGCAGGCGCCGACTTGCGTGCTCTGACAAGTTCAGCGCGGGGGGGATCGCTGGTGGGCCACCCGGAACGAATGCAAGAACAGCCCGCCACAGGCGCCGGATTTTTGGCTTGTTCAGTGAACGTAGTTTGGGTCGCGGGTGGGTCGCGGGCTCTCCACCTCCACCTGGAAGGAATTCAAAACCAGCCCGCCGCAGGCGCCGAAAATTGTTTGGGTCGCAGGTTCTCCACCTGGAACGAATGCAAAAACAGCCCGCCGCACGCGCCGAATTTTTGGCTTGTTCAGTGAACGTAGTTTGGGTCGCGGGTGGGTTCCGGGCTCTCCACCTCCACCTGGAAGGAATTCGAAAACAGCCCGCCGCAGGCGCCGAAATTCTTTGATTTGTACACTGAACGCGGTTTGGGTTGCGGGTGGGTCGCAGGTTCTCCACCTGGAACGAATGCAAAAGAAGCCCGCTGCAGGCGCCGAAAATTTTGGTTGGGTCGCGGGGTGGGTCGCGGGTGGGTCGCGGTGGGTCGTGGGTGGGTCGTGGGCGCCGTTTGGGTTGCGGATGGGTCGCAGGTTCTCCACTTGGGACGAATGCGACAGCAACCCGCCGCAGGCGCCGAAACTTTTGGGTGGGTCGCGGGGTGGGTCGCGGGTGGGTCTCGGGTGGGTCGCGGGTGGGTCGCGGGGTGGGTCGCGGGGTGGGTCGCGGGTGGGTCGCGGGTGGGTCGCCGGTGGGTCGCGGGTGGGTCGCGGGGTGGGTCGTGGGTGGCTCGCGGGGTGGGTCGCGGGTGGGTCGCGGGTGGGTCGCGGGTGGGTCGCGGGGTGGGTCGCGGGTGGGTCGCGGGGCGGGTCGCGGGTGGGACGACGCCACAACAAACAACAACAAAAATCCGCATCGCGGAATTCCACTTCAGCCACGCGCCCAGGGACAGTGAATGTCCGCTCGGTTCAGCCCCCTCACTTTGATAATATCAAATGATTCGCTGTCGGGGGCGCCTGTCCCAGGGCGGCTGGAAAGTTTAAACCCTTACGGTGGCAAGTCAATGTGCAAATTTTCCAGCCGCCCTGGGGCAGCGCCCCTGGCGACGGAAAAGTTTATTATATACCATTCTGCGCCCGCTAACGCAAGAAACGGGTCCTCCGGCAACACGGGGCGAATTCACGGTTCTTGGACCTCCGGGTGTGCCTCTCTGGGGCCAGTTCTTCAATCGTTTCTGCCGGCCCTATGGCTTGGGAGACCCGAAAGCAAAATCCCTTGACCAGTTTCCCTCGGGACCCCTTGCCGCTTAGGCCTCCCAGAGGGGGTCCGAGTAGATGTAGCCGGAGGATCGCGCCGCATCGCCGATGCCTCGCCGAGGCGTCCGGATGTGGAGCCCGACTCCCTCCAAACGCATGGCCTCGCCGATGCACCGCCGACGTCGCCCGCTGCATCGTCGGTGCACCTGCGATGCGTCGCCGATGCATCGGCGATGCGGCGCGATCCTCCGGCTCCGGTAAGTCGGGCCTGCCCCCCTACAGGGGGAATGTTCAAAAATAGTCGAGATAGTCAGGGGACGATTGTTGGGGCATTTTTGGTGCATGTTTGGGGTATCTTTATTTTTGTCGCCTAAAATCCCCCTGTAGGGGGACAGGCCCGACCTAAATCTACTCGGACCTGCTTGAGACCTCCTGCTCCATCGCGCTGGCTGGTGACACTGCACGACCCGAGCTCCCGGGCCCTGCCCGCCCGCAGCACTCTCGCTCTAGAGCCGGGCCCGCCCGTGGGGGGCCCGCCTCCCGAGAGAGGCCAGGGCGGAAGCTCCGATATGTGTGTGTGTGTGCGTGTGTGTGTGTGTGTTTGTGTGTGTGTGTGCGGGTGTGTGTGTGTGTGTGTGTGTGTGTGTCTGCGTGTGTCTGCGTGTGTGTGTGTGTGTGTCTGCGTGTGTCTGCGTGTGTGTGTGTGTGCGTGTGTGCGTGAGAGAGAGAGAGTGCTTGCTCGCGGCGCCTGGTTCTGGGGGTCTGGCCCAGACATCGGGCGTCGAAAGCTTCTCCCAACTCGGGCGTCGAGCAAAGGGGCTGCGACAAATTGGGGGGTGCGCCTTTTCTGTGCTCTGAAGGGGCCCTGAAGCTCCCCCCTGGGGCCCACAAAGAGGTACGACATGTGCACGTTTCTCCCCCGCCCCATTCATCGCCCCCGCATCAGTTCACGCCCGATCAGCGTTGAGCTTGACGTAGGTTCTCTGGACTTTCTGTCCCATGGGACGGCTCTTCACCCCGAGTCGTCCAGCCGACGGCCTCCCGGGGGCCCGGCGAGGCTTCCGGGAGGCCGAGCACGGCAGACACAATTGCCCGCCCTGTTTTCTGCCACGACGAGGGGGCCTGGGCTCCCAATTGTGTGCGCGCGCGCGCCGGCCGGGCCATGGCCGCGCCCGGGCCCGGGAGCCGGAAGCGCCCAGCGGAGGGCCTGGCGGAGCTCTGCACGAACGAGATGGGCACGGAAAGAATGGGTACGATGCCCAGCAGCAGTGCCTGTTCATTTTGAGCAGGACTCGCTGTCGGTGCCGCCGCGGCCTGTGTCCATTCGAGACAGAAGGCCGCCTGCCCAACAGCGGCCGCCGTTGGTTTGGGACAACATTTGTTGGGCATTGTACCCATTCTTTCCGTGCCTATTTTTAAGTCGGGCCTGTCCCCCTACAGAGGGATTTTCAACGAAAAATATAAAATACACCCATATAGTCTGGGGATCATTTTAAAAGTATTTTTTACCTTTTTGGGGCATTTTTGGGGTATTTTCCATTTTTCGCCGAAAATCCCCCTGTAGGGGGACACGCCCGACATTAGTTGATTTCGGGCGTCCAGAGGAGCTGGAGCCGCGCACCTACACGTGCCAGAGGATCCTGGGCAAGGGCTCCTTCGGCCTGGTCTACCAGGCCGAGGTCCAGGAGAGCCCCGCCGCGGGCGCGCCGCGCCCCCGCGGCGCCGCGGCCCCCTGCCCCCTCTGGGGGCCTGGGCGCTGCACCTCTGCCCCGCTGCGCGCGCTCGCCGCGCTCCGGGCCTGGAGTCCGCCCGCGTACATATATATATATATTATATATATATATATATATTATATATATATACATATATATATATATATATATATATATATATAATATATATACATAGATATACAAATATACATACAAAATTATCCCAGAGCGACCCTACCTAGGAGTTGGAGCCCCGAGGAGAGTAATATTAGTAGTAACGGTAAACGCCGTCCTCCTTCTCCTCATCGACGCAGTTGTAGCAGTCGCGGGTAGTAGTAGTAGTAGTAGTAGTAGTAGTAGTAGTAGCAGTAGCAGTAGCAGTAGCAGTACAGTAGTAGCAGTAGCAGTAGTAGTAGTAGTAGTAGTAGTAGTAGTAGTAGTAGTAGTAGAGTGTAGTAGTAGTAGTAGTACTAGTACTAGTACTAGTACTAGTAGTAGTAGTAGTAGTAGTAGTAGTAGTAGTAGTAGTAGTAGTAGTAGTAGTAGTAGTAGTAGACGTAGTAGTACAGCTTAAGACCTGCATCTACATCTAGACCTACATCCACATCTACACCTACAGCTACATCTACATGTACACATGCATCTACATCGACATCTACATCTACAACTACACTCACATCTACATCTACATCTACACCTACATCTACACCTACATGTACATCTACATGTACATCTACACCTACATCTACATCTACACCTACATCTAAATCTACATCTACACTTTCGCATTGCTTTTGCTTTTGCTTTGCATTGCCTTTGCTATTGCTCTTGCCTTTGCTTGTGCCTTTGCCTTTGCTTCTGCTGGTGTTTTTTGTTTTACCTTTGTTGTTGCTTTTGCTATACCATGCTATGCTATGCTATGCTGCGCTATACTATGTTATGCTATGTTATGCTGCGCTCTGCTATGCTATGCTATGCTATGCTGCGCTTTGCTATGCTGCGCTATGGTATGCTATGATATGCTATGCTGCGCTATGCTATGCTATGCTATGCTATGCTATGCTGAGCTATGCTATGATCTGCTATGATATGCTGCGCTATGCTAAGCTAAGCTAAGCTAAGCTAAGCAATGCTAAGCTATACTATACTATGCAATGCTAAGCTATGCCATGCTATGCTATGCTATGCTATGCTGCGCTATGGTATGCTGCGCTATGCTTTGCTATGCTATGCTAATGCTGATGCTAATGCTAATGCTAATGCTAATGCTAATGCTAATGCTAATGCTGCGCTAGGCTAAGCTAAGGTGGGCTAAGCTGAGCTAAGCTAAGCTAAACTAGGCTAGGCGAAGCTGAACTAAGCTAAGCTAGGCTAGGCTAAGTCAGGCTAAGCGAAGCTAAGCTAAGTTAAGCTAGGCTAAGCTAAGATGAGATAAACAACGCTAAGCTAAGTGGACGTAGCTGGGGGAACCGCGGGGCGGATGCCGGGGGAACCGCCCGGGGCGCATTACACTGCCCGGCCCTTTAAGCACATGGGTAAAGAACCCTTCTAGGCAGAGCCTAGGTCGGGAAATATACATATATACTTATATATAATGCATATATATATATATATGCATATATATATATACACAAGTATACGTACACATATGTATATGCATATATATATATACACATATATATACACATATACATTATATATACAGACGTGCCGCAGAACGGTGGGTCTCAGGGCTCCGGCCAAGGGACGCCACGGCACTGCTCTTCGATCTTCTGTGCCTGCGGCGTCGGGCCTCCGTGGCGCGCCAGCCAGCTTCCGCCCCCCCCCTCTCCCCGGGTGCCGGCTTCCAGAAGGTGCTGGGGCCGCCCGGAGCGTCAGAGACAGGTTTGCTTGGGATGAAGCGCCGGCCCCCGAGAGGTCTGGGGGGCGGCGGCTCAAGCAGATCGGGCCGTCGGCGGTCCAGAGGGCCCGGGGCTGCGCACAGGAAGCTCCTGAGGGAGGTTCCGGCTGGCCCTGGACTGAAGTCGGGCCTGTCCCTTTCACATGAGGAATAGTCAGAAATAGTAAAAGAATAGTGTGGCGACGATTGTTCGACTATTTTCGGCTATTCTTGAATCGTTTTTGCGTGTTTCCCCTATCAGTGCTTGTACTGAAGGGGTCCGAGTTGAAATTGAAGGATTTGGCGAAAGGAAAGAGCGCGTTCTGTGGTCGCTTGGAGGGTTGGAACCGACCCCCCCCAACCTCTCCTCTTTCCCTCAACTCGGCTGGCAGCGGCGGCGGCGGGGACGATTTCCTTTTCTGGACCAGCGCCGGCACCTGCGGCGGCGGGCGACGGCGGCGGGGAGGGTCGACGAGGACGACGGTGGTGGTGGTGGTGGTGGTGGTGGTGGGTTGTGGTGGTGGTGGTGGTGGCGGTGGTGGTGGTGGCCCCTGGTGGTGGTTGTGGTGGTGGTGTGGTGTTTGTGTGTGGGTGGTGGGTGGTGGTGGTGGTGGTGGTGGTGGTGGTGTGGTGGTGTTGTGGAGGTGGTGGTGGTGGGTTGTGGTGTGGTGGTGGTGGTGGTGGTGGTGTGGTGGTGGTGGTGGTGGTGGTTTGTGGTAGTGGTGGTGGTGGTGTGGTGGTGGTGGTGGTGGGGTGGTGGTGGCGGTGGTTTGTGGAGGTGGTGCTGGTGGTGGTGGTGGCGGTGGTGGTGGCGGTGGTGTGGTGGTTTGTGGTGTTGGTGGCGGGTTGTGCTGCTGGTAGCGGTGGTGGTGGTGGCGGTGGTGATGGTGGCGTGGTAGACTGGTGGTGGTGGTAGTGGTGGTGGGTTTTTGTGGTGGTGGTGGTGGCGATGGTGAGTTGTGGTGGTGGTGGTGGTGGTTGTGGTGGTGTTGGAAGCTGTGGTGGTGGTGGTGGTTGTGTGGTGAGTTGGTGGTGCTGGTGGTGGTGGGTTGAGGCGTTGGTGGTTGTGGTAGTGGTGGTGGTGGTGGTGGTGGTAGTGGTGGTTATCGTCGCTGCGTCCCCGCCGTCGCCGGCGCCAGCGCCGGCACTACTGGCCGCCGCCATGCAGCGCCAGCGCCGGCGCCGGCGCTGCTGGCCGCCGCCGGCGCCGGCGCCGGCGCGGGGGGGGGGTTGAACCCCCCCCTTCCTCGGCGCCAGGGAGGGGGGGGTGGTTGAACCCCCCCCCTCCCCTTGGGCTGCCTCTGGTCATCGTCGCTGCGTCCCCGCCGCCGGCGCGGGGGGGGGTCGGGAGGGGGGGGTTTGGGGGGGAGGAAATTCCAGCTGGTTTTGATCGATCGGCGCCGAGTGTTATTGGGGGGGGGCTCGTTCCCCCGTTCGAAACGCGCCGCCTTGAGGCAAGCGCCCGTATCGTCCAGCCGATTTTGGTGGCCGGCTGGGTTTCCGGGTTCCCCGTTCCGGCCTCCCGGGTTCCGGTCATTGGTTCCGGGCCGAGTTCGGTGTGTTCCGGCTTCCCGGGTTCCCGTTCGATCTCCATATATCGAACTCTTTATCGATCCCGCTCCTAACCATCCACCGATTGGGGTTCCTCTCTGGTGTAATTTTCGTTTGTCGCCCAATAGGGGGCCACATGCGAACCCTACCCCTTCCCCACACGATTTCTGCGGGGGAGGGTGGGTTTCACTTCGCTCGGGAGCTCCCGAGCGAAGTGGACCCCACCTTCCTCCTCAGAAATCATGAGGGGTATGGGGCAGGGTTCGCATGTGGCCCCCTATCCAAAATCCGCCTGCCCGACCTGGGCCTGGGCGGCGGGCGCTGCAGCCCGCAGCGGCCCCGACGCCCGGGCGGCGCCCAATGGTGCCGCGCGCTCCCCGCCCCAGGCGCCTCGGGAGGGCCTGCCGAGGCTGCCGCGCGGGCTGGCGGGCGCGGCGATGGGGGGCCCCACCTCCCGGGGCGGATTTTGGAGGAAAAAGTGTGTGTGTGTGTGTATATCGGAGGTTGGGGGGTGAGATCGAAGTGGAACGGAGAGCCCCCCAAAAGGAAATCGGTTTCGGTTTCGTGTTCGTGTCGTGCGTGCGGGCGAGGCGAAACTGCGTGCGCGGGCGAGAGGAATTCATTCTACTGTCGCTAGTGGTTCGCCAACATAAATGTTTCCCCCGCCGGCGCGTGTCAAGCGGTGGCCCGCATTGTCCCGTCGGTTGCCCGCCGTTGTCCTGTCTGTCGCTAGTGGTTCGCCAACATAAATGTTTCCCCCGCCGGCGCGTGTCAAGCGGTGGCCCGCATTGTCCCGTCGGTTGCCCGCCGTTGTCCTGTCTGTCGCTAGTGGTTCGCCAACATAAATGTTTCCCCCGCCGGCGCGTGTCAAGCGGTGGCCCGCATTGTCCCGTCGGTTGCCCGCCGTTGTCCCGTCTGCCGCTAGTGGTTCGCCAACATAAATGTTTCCCCCGCCGGCGCGTGTCAAGTGGTATCCCGCATTGTCCCGTTGGTCGCCCGCCGTTGTCCTGTCTGTCGCCAGGCCCTGCCAGTGCACGCATCGTCGACTGGACCGTCGTGGGGTGAGTGCCGCGTCGCGCAGCGGCAAACCGAATGACACAAAACGCCCAAGCGAAAGAACAAAACAAAATCCTCCACGTCATCCACACCATCATCGGCCATCAGCACCACATTCACCACAGTCGTCGTCATGAGCCCCCACCCTCCCACCCACCCCCACAACCTCCTTATCACCCGCAGGGTGGTCGTATAGGTGTATATATATATGTATATATATATACAAGACGCCAAACAAATATGCAAACATATTCGGAAATAGTCGAAAATCGTTCCCCGAAATGTTTCTATCATTTCCTAAGTTTCCTTCTGTAGAGAGGGACAGGCCCGACTTGATCCTGGGGGCCCGTCTGCCCAGACGGCATCCCCACGACCCCCCCCCCGCGTGGCCGACAGAGATCACCGCGGGATGGTCGTTCGCCACATCCCGAGCATTTTCGTTTGGGCAGGGGGCAAAGGGTGACATTTGAAATGCCGTTTCCACTGATTGT